GTACTTATAGAGGTGTATTGGGTTTGAGGTTTCCTAAAAATAAAAATTTAAAAAATATATTAACTCCATTTCACAATAGGAAATTCTCTCAAGAATCTATCATGATGATCCTAAATAGGGGTGTAAAAATGGCTCATCGGCCCCAAACCCGCCCGCTATCTAACCAGGCCCAAGCCTGAGCTTAAGCCTAGCCTGAACCCCTAGGCCTAGGCTTGGGCCATGTGTTTTCTGGCCTGCCTGCTCGCTTGGGGCCCACTCTAAAACCCACCCAAGGCCTAATCTTATTTTTAAACTATTTTGGTGGAAAAAATAATAATTTGTCATACTTGACCCAGGCCCAACCCTAAGCCTGAGGCCCAGCCCAAGGTCCGAATTCTCCTAGGGGCTTGGGCCTAGACCAATATTTCACGAGAGTGGGTGACCCAACCCGACCTAATTTTTGGCGAGAGCCCACAAGATCCAAATATGGGCCAGTTTGAGCTCGGGCTTGGATGGGTGAAACCCAAATTACACCCTAATCCTAACACAAAAAGAGAGTTACAAAATAAAAAATATGTATGGGAAAACACTTCCACATATTCAAATTTTACTGCTCAAATTGAGTTGGAGGTTTCCTTGTCATATAAAAGAGGGAAAAACTCCCAAGTAGCAACATGGTCCTCATTCACTACTCTTTTGGCCAAGCAATGGGATGCACCATTGGCCTCCCCATTTGTGAATTGAATCTCACAAAGAGAAAAATCACGCTGAAGGCAATTAATGCCACCAACAATGCCTTCAATCGCCGCTATCAACGTTATTTGTCCTAACACCAACTTCACTACTTGTTGTGAATCTACTTCCAGAACTACTAGTAGTAGATGTAATTCTTTAGCAAATAGCAATCCCGAAAGGACATCACAAACTTCCACACTTAATGGATCACAAAGTTATCGAAATGGACACACTCTAACTGCAACGAAATGCCCATGACAGTCCCTTATGACCAGCATCAACCCACTCCACTTGTCAAGCAACGATACCTTTTTTTTTTTTTTTGAACTAGTAAATGCCCTCAGGCTACAATAGAGAATAAAAAAAACAACATATCCTTTCAGAAGAGGAGAAGGAATCTTAACTCAATCTAAAGGTAAAACACCCTTCGTCGACACTGCAGCAAGCCAATGTGCAACTCGATTGGCCTCTCTGGGTGCCCAAGAGAACAAAGACGAGAAGCTCAAGCCCAAAGATCGAATATCAAAGATGATCGCAAGACACTCCCATGGAGGGACCAGCTCGGAGACATGGTCAATGACAATTAATAAGCATGCCAAAAGGACAACACATGCCTCTTTGAAAGATTTGAGGAAGAATGAATAGAGGAAACTACACCATTAACCAATTTCCCCTTCCAATCCCTCAAAATAATAGCACATGCCTCTATTTGAATGTCAAGCAATGATATCCTGCTACCAAAATTAATTTCATACACTCCATCCCCATTTTACCAGTTTGCTATCCTCATTTTTGGGTATATTTTTGCACCTAAACTATTACTCAAAAATTAATTTAACCTAGGTATTCTTTTAATAATAATAATTTTATATCTAAACAATTTGATTTTGAATCAATTTTATTCCTGCCGTCAATAGCCGTCTATGATAAAATAGAAGTTGTTGACATGACATTGAAGCTTTATTTGAAACTTCATTTATCACAAAAATATTAATTAGACTCTAGATATATAAAAAATTAAATTTAAATATCTAATAATAATTTCATAATTCAATATCGTTTCACAAATTAGGGAATAAGATATTTCTATCAGAACATGTGTGGTCTATATTTTTACTTGCCCAATTTTCAACCAACTATTAGTTGATCAGCTCTATTGAGATTATTTTGAGAGATAAACTAGCTATAATTGCTGAGAGAGAGAGAGGACACTTACAAATTTGGGCTCAATTAGCTTCCCTAGGACCAACTCAAGGTACTTTGAGATTTAGCGCGACAATTTTAAATGAAACATTTTTTTTTAACGGATTGGATTATTTCATATTTACTATCTCAACTTGAAACAGTATTTGAGTTTAGTAGGCCCATTTTGGGGTCAACCTCAGTAATTCGAATTGTTCGCTTTTTAGAACTCATTATGTAGAATATTTATACAAAAATTAAGATAATCGGATATCAACAGTTATATGTTAAAATCACATTTATTTTTAAAAAAAATAGACGACAATTATATTTTCAAGAATAATCATTCATTTTTTATTTAAAAAAAATGTGATTCAAACATATAGTTAAAATGATTTAACAAATTATGCCTCCTTAAAACGAACAAACTGTTCAACTCTTAGGGTCTTCTTTTTTGTTGATTTTTTTTCATTTTTAGTGAATTTTTTTTTTAAAAAAAAAATTAGAAAACTTTAGGCTTTTGAGTTTTACTCGACTAGATGGACTAAAAAAATATTTTTTTTTTAATTTGAAAAAAAGTCTAAAATAACAAAAAATAATTAAAAATAGTTGGCTTTTTCTATTTTTAGATTTTTTCAAAATTTTAATTTGTCTATAAAGATGGAGAAAAAAAATAAAAAATATAATTTAAAAAAAAATCATAAAAAAGGAAATTCTATTCGCACAGCACAAAATTTTTTAGAGAAAATTAGTCTAATATCCCTCTCCCATATTTTAGTAATAGAAGAGATGCACAATATTATTTTATGATATCTAAAGTCCCTCAACCCCCACACTCATACATCACAAAGAAATTTCTCAAATCAAACCTCATTTTTTTTTCTTTCTCTCACTCTAAACTCTTCTGCTAAATTCATCTCTTCTCCTCTCTATCTCTCTAATCACTGTATCGCTCGCATTCTCTCTCATTCATCTTTCTCTAGCCAAACTACCAAAACCCAAACCATTGTGGAACGCCGTGAACTACCAGTGGCCACCATGGGCCACCAATCTGTCTCTATGTGTGTCGTTTTTCACACAGCTCATTCTCTTGCTCTTTTTTCCTTGTCAAAACTTCAGGGTACCAACACTGCAAGTGCGTTAATTCTTTCAATTTCTTCACACATGGGAACGTAGTTGATTTAATCCCAAGTTGTTTGTTTGTTTGTTTTTTTAATTTTAAAAAATTTCAGATTTTGCTAGCTCCTCTGTTGTTGTTGCAATTACAATTACTCATGAATTGTTGGCTCTGTGATGGTGCTACGAGTTTGGGGGTTTTTATGGCGGACTTATGCGCTTGATTTTGGTATAAGCGGCCATAGAGTACGGGCAATCTGATAGTAGTGGTGAACTGCTTATCATTAAAGACTGTTGAAGATGAAGTGGGTCTGAGAGATGTTAGAAATCACAGAAAATGAAATTTCTCTGATTTTGGAGAGAATTTCTCTGGGTTTGAGAAAATTTCTCTGGAAAGGTTTGTTTGGAAATTTCTCTGGTTTTGATATGGGTTAGGGATTCTAGATTGTATCAGTGGTTGCGTGTTTGGTTGCTGAGAAAATGTGTGAAATGAGAAGAAAACTTAAAATTTGAATATTATTAGGTTGAAGGTCTGTGATGAAGATGGTGAAGAAGATGAAGTGGGTCTGAGAGATGAGTAGAGAGCTAGAAAATGGAATTTCTCTAATTTTTGAGAGAATTTCTCTAGAAAGTCCAAAGAAATTCTAGGAGTCCAGCGAAATTTTGGGCAGAATTTCTCTAGACTTTGTATCAGTGGTTGCGTGTTTAGTTGCTGAGAAAATGTGTGAAATAGGAAGAAACTTAAAATTTGAATATTATTAGGTTGAAGGCCTGTGATAAAGATGGTGAAGAAGATGAGTAGAAAGCTAGAAAATGGAATTTCTCTGATTTTGGAGAGAATTTCTCTAGGTTTGGGAGAATTTTCCTAGAAAGTCTAGAGAAAAGAATTTCTCTAGATTCAATTTTCTTTAGATCAGTTTGAGGGACCTATACATTATAAAAATGTTGAATGTTTTTTATGTTATAAAATCGTAATATCAGGGATCCTAAAAAAAAATCCCCAAAATTTTAATATACACTATTTATTTTGTCTGGATATAAATTTTTGAACAAAAGGTAAATGTTCGGACATATATTGATGAACAAAGATAATTTTTTAAAATATATATATATATATATATATTATTTAACTGTTTATTTTCGAACAATTGCTTTTCTTCATAAGTTTATATTTGAACATTTGATTTTTGTTCATAAGTTTATATCCAAACAATATAAATGGTGTATATTGAGATTTTTTTGTAGTGTGTAAACAAAATTACCATAAAAAATGGTAAATGTCAAATATATTCCCGAGATTTGCCTAAAATACAAATTGCCCTATGTGGTTTTAAAAATTACTTCTCGCCCTTTTAACTTTCTAATCACCTAACAAATGACTCATCTTTATTAATATAAATCATTAAATCAATTAACATTTTTTATAATGTCAGAAATATATTTTTAATTAATCTAGATAATTTTATTATTGTATAGGAAAGTAATTATAAATTTTATAAGTTTTATTAATTTTGTTAAATAAAATTTTTTGAAAAGAGAGTATTTATAATTTTTAAAATTACAGAGAATAATTTTGTACCACCTTCGATACAAACATATTATCTGAAATTGATTTATAATACAAATCGATATTATAAACAAATTTTAGATGACATGTTTGTACCAACGGGGCTGGTGTCCCAGGAGATTATGCATATGTTTTTCATAGGGGCATATAGGGGTTAACTTGGGAGGGGCACAATTTATCTTTAGATTTGTGCGTTGTATTCTGATTGACACCCGATCTGCTTTGTTGAGTGAATAAGTGGTAAGTGGATGAGGTTTGCCTTGGATTAAATTATCTCACAATTAGAGCCCACAAATATTATGATGCCCACAAAGTAATTTTCTTTTTTGTTAAAATAATAATAATATGTTTGTAATTTTATGTTTGAAAAAATTACAATTCATATTATAAGCAAGCGTAAGGGAATAATTTTAACCCCCACGAGTGCTATCTATATGGGACGCTATCGACTCTCGTCAGTTCAAAAACGCTCTCAAGCTCTCCGCTTCTCTTCTCTCGAAATACCCCAACTCTCCCTACGCTCTCGTAAGTCTGTTACACATTGATTACATCCACTATATATCAAATGAATGATTACCGTGTCAGAGTTTTGTTATATATATATATATATCAAATTTGAGGTTAACAACTTGATCTGATATGAAAAACTTTATCAAATGTTTTTGAAAATTTCAGAACTTATCCTGAAAACCCGTTTTAACCATTTTTTATGAAAGGAAAACCATGTCCAATCCTTGTTACTTTTTAAAGTTTCATCAAATTTGTGTAAAAATATATGAATGTTGGGAATTTGGTGAAGGATTTGCCTCTCCCTTGTTTGATACAGATTTTATGAAATGGCTGGAGCACACTTTTAGCCATTTTTTATAATTAAATTTGAATTTGATGAAAAATTTGGACAAGGATTGCAGATGCTCTTATAGTATAGGGTTAGATTAGAAAGAAAAATCAGATTAGATAAATATGATGAAATTTTCCCTTTAACATATGGTTACATTATAAAGAACAATCAGACTGATATACTAAAAATAAAATATAAAAAAAATCAGCTTGACACATAGAATGATAAAAACTACAACTTTTGATATTTTTTTACAATACAAAAGCATGGATTTTGTGCAAAAAGCATAAATGAAAGCACAATTTTGTTAGCTTCATGTAGGTCATTTGCATATCTTGTTTGTCTTATTGTGGTCAATTATGTATGTCCATGTCCAGTGTATTAAACAGGTTCTCAATTTTTTTCCCCTCTTATCATGCAGGAACTCAAGGGTCACATTTTGGAAAGGATGGGTAAATCTGATGAAGCATTGTCTGTTTGCCTAAATGCCAAAGAGCTATTGTATAAGAATGACTCCATTGATGATCTCACTCTCAGCACGCTGCAGATTGTATTCCAACGACTTGATCAATGTCAGTACATGTACTGCTTGACATACATACATACATACATACATACATACATAGCTCTAATAATTGTTTTATCTTGTCAGTGGACATGGCTACTGGTTGTTACGAGTATGCCTGTGGCAAGATTCCAAACAATTTGGAATTAATGATGGGCCTTTTCAACTGTTATGTTCGTGAGTACTCATTTGTGAAGCAGCAACAGGTTGATTGTATCCAATAGTTGATGTTCCGAGTTTATTATTTATTTATTTTATTTTTGTTATTTTGTAACATCTATGTTCGTATAGATTGTGCAAGAGTTAGAATAGGGCATTTGCTTATATGGCTGCAGATAGCTATTAAAATGTACAAGATTGTTGGCGAGGAAAGGTTCTTGCTTTGGGCAGTTTGTAGCATTCAGTTACAGGTTTTGCCTGCCTGTCCCAACTATTTTTTCCCCTTTTCCAGTTTTTTATGTAAAATAGTCCACTAGTGCCTGTTTTGGAAAGTTGTTATCCCTATCAATGGCATTTTAGAGCACGTGATACACCACCTAAAACAAAAATTTCAAAACATGATAACTAATGAGTGATTGTAGTTCTTACAATGTATTCCTTTTGCTGAACAATTCTGTTGCTTAGTGGTTAGCTAGGACTTTTGAATTACCCAGTTTATTCCCCATTCAAATTATCCATCTATCTAACCTGTCACCATTTAAAAGATAAAGAAGTGATTTCAATTTAACAAATTGCAGATCAGCACTTTTACTTAATTTAACTCATAGCAGAGGGGAGACATGGGTAAGTGGGTAGCTTACTGGTTGGGCAGGAAGTGAATGTTTTTCAACTATTGATATATTCTTAGGATTGATATAGGCCGTTGATTCAAATTGTATCTCTGAAACATTTTACATATTTTCAAATCCATTATGTTTTATTATATAGATATATGTGTGTGTGCGCGCACGTACTAGAAACTTTCTTACTAATAGAGTTTCTATGATTATATATATATATATATATGTATATTTGGTTAAAAACGTTCTTATTAATAGAACTTTTCAAAACAATGTAAAATCTTTCTCAAAATTCATTTCTTCTCACATTTCGATGACAACACTTTTTCAAAATATTAAAAGAGTTTTTCAAAATAACTTTTTTTACCCTCCTCTCTCTCTCTCTCTCTCTCTCCTTTCTTCTTACTTTTCACTACAAAATCATGAAATCATGCCACATCTCCAGCCACGACCATCACTCCCTTCCTTTCCCTCCCTTTTTAGGCACTTACATCGTCAATCCCACCATCACCACCACCACCACCACCACTAGGTAAATCCATCTCTCTCTCTCTCTCTCTCTCCCCTCCCCTCTCTTTCTTCTTAGACTTCGTTAATTTATGTATGTTTACATTGTCAACACTCTCCTTACATTAATCTATGTATGCTTGGATGATATATCACTTTTTGGTCAAATCTAGATCATTCTCTCTCTCTCTCTCTCTCTCTCTCTCTCTCTTTCCTCCATTTCCGAAAGCCCCAAGCGTTCAAGCTTGGATTTCATCTCCTTTTACTTAAAATCTCACCCTAGTTCCATATACCAAAATGTAAAGCACGAAGAGAGCTTTCTAGTAATCTTAGCGGATTGAATTTTTGTAGCACTCTGTACTTTCAGTTATAATGGAATTATATTTGACTATTTGATTACCTTTATTGAGAACATTCTTAGTCAAAATTTGAGTCTTGGTTGAGGTGTTACCATAGTGATTTGGCGAGATTGAATCAAAAACTCCAAATTCGAATAGTTATTATTACTTAGTCTTCACTCTTTTATCATTTTCTCTCTCCACACTTTGAATCTTGATGATAGGCTAAAACCATTGGAAAGCTTACTTCAAGTGCTTCAATTTGGAGACAAGAATGGCCCTAAACCGAGTTTGAACGAGAAAGTTATGTCTGGTTGAAGTTTGCAAATATGTGTTGTGCGCATAGTTCGCTCAAGTACAACTTTCACCGCTTGAGCGGTCCATAGATCCTTCCAGCTCTATTTCTCAAAATTGTTTGAGATATTGGAAGTCTCGATTCACCGCTTGAGCGCATTTTTGACCGCTCGAGCGGTCTGTCCAGAATCATATCTTTAAAAGTCACTTTTTGGATCAAATCTCTTCACTTTTCACCCTCTTCTATCTTTTTCCAGCATTGTTGAATTTCTAAGCTTTTTAACCTTGATTTCATCTATTCAAGAGGTAGGGATTTCTAAGCGGCACCGTGGATTTTCGGCTTTCTACTCATCGCTTCAAGAGGTAGGAATTTCTTTACTCTTTTTCGATACCTCGTCTATATATAGACATGTGGTAGATTGGTATTGCCCTAAATCATGTTTATTATGGATTTTTTAAAAATCATGAAAAAGGGATCTAGGGTTTGACACTTGGGGATTTTAATTGTTAAATTGGTGGTTGTTTTGATTAATTGGAGAGTAGTTAAACATCTTTATGTTGAGGAGAAGAAAAATCCCTAATGTTATATAATTGGTTCAATTAGATAAAGGGGTAATGTTGAATAATAGTTATATTTGTATTATGTGGATTGTATTAATGGGTTAATTGCTAAAAATGGGATTAACCAAGATGATGAGATCGTTTTGATTACACAATTATTAAGTTGAGTTAAGTTGAGTTGTGACTTGATATCCATGGATTAGGTTTTTGATTAAATAAAGAAAATGGAATTTGTGGAAAATGATTGGAGTTTTGGGAATAACAGAATTGACTTTTGAAAAAAAAAATGAAGTCATAACTCTTTTGTAAATTAAGAAGGAATGGGGATTATACTTTGAACATTTTACTTGTTATAGTTGTTGTTGGACTTAATGTCCCATGAGTTTTGGATTATTGTATTACGCTTATTAAATGCATGTGCCTAGAGGTTTTGTCCTTGGTTATCGGTAGATGATGACATTGATGTGTTGAATAAAGTATGTGTATGTATTAGACTTGCGTTATTTATGTTTTTAGCATGTTGAAATGATCGGTGATATACACGCGCTGAAAATGAGAGATACTAGTACCTTTCAGCTAACGCCTAGAGAACTTGGCAGCGCTTAAAATGAGAGGTACCAGTACCTTCCAGCTAGCGCCTAGAGAACTTGGCAGAGATACTACTACATTCCAACCGACATCTGATAAATTGGCATTTCGTTATGAGAAGGTGTATTCTTGGTTTACCGTGCTTAAGGCAGGTAATAGAGTTTTGTTTATCATTATTATCCCTGTGTATCTGTGTATAGCAAGTGTGGTGATGGTTATGGTCAGATGAGTACAAATTGTCTTATATGATTGGATAGAGGTTGTTAATCATATGTTGTTTCCATTTTCATCTTAATGTATACGTACGTACTCGGACATATTGGTGAGTTGTCAAAAGTGTTTATTTTTACCATGAGTTTGGCCAGGAAATGTGATGATTGTATTAAAAATAAACATGTTTTCAAACAACCAGTGGTGAGTGATATTTATGAAATGGAAAATGAAAAGGAAAGGTGGACCGTCTGTATTGTTGAATAAATTAGATGATTTTGGAAAAAATACTTATGTAAGTATACTTTGGTTATAAACCGCCACATTATTTATATAGTATGAGATGAAGCATTTATGATCATAGCTATTTGTAAGTTGTTATTGTTTAGGATCATGTTGGGATCCCTACTAGACATTGTGTTCATCCCACGTTGCTAATTTATTTATTTATTTTTCAAGTGAATGTCAAGAAGCGGTTCAAGATCAAGGATCTTCTTTATCTGTTGGCCACAGTGCCTTTTATTTGTTGGCAGAACGTCGTTGTTGTAAATAAAAAGGGTTGAACCCTTTCTCTCATATGTAATAATGTAAGCCTGTGGACAATTTATTTAATTATAACTCATGTTGCATCCTTCATGTATTCGAATGAGAGAACCTTAGCTTAATTGTTCTTATTAATGTATTGAAGTTCCGTACGTTATCTCTGAAATTGTATTATAATAATGGATTTGGTAATGGTATCCGCGAAATAAAAATTGGGGCATTACAATTTTCGTCGAAGTCGGATTTCTGGGATTTTTTCTCTTCTTGCTTGAGGTAAGGATTTCTTTACTCATTTTTAATACTTCTTTATAGATAGATATGTGGTATATTTTTATTGCATAAAAAGTCATGATTTAGTTATGTGATTTCAAAGCCATGAAAGGGGATTTTTGGGGTTTAAGCCTTGGAATATGATATTGTTTATGTTATGAATGGAGAAACACATCAAAGGTTTGATGAAATGTAAAGGGGTAAATTGAGTAATTGTTGTGTTATATGTATTATGGAAATCTAATTAATGTGTTAATTGTTAAAAAGGGAGTTAGCTGATATATTAGGATTGTTTTGATTTGCATATGTTGAGTTGAGTTGGGTTGTAGTTTTTGATATCCATGGATTAGGTTTTGTTAAATGAATAGAAAATTGGGATAAAGATTTGAGTATTGTGAATTGGGAAAAATAAGGAAATTGGTTTTAGGAAAGAAAATGAAATCATAACACTTTGAAAATTGAGAATGAAAAGGAGATTGGATTTTGTACACTTTATTTATCATTGTTGTTGGACTTAATGTCTTATGAGAATTGGGTTATTGTAACGCGTATTAAATGCATATGCTTAGAGGTTTTGTCCTTGGTTATTGGTGGAATATGACATTGATGTGTTGAATAGATTATGTGTATGTATTACACCTGAGTTATTTATGCTTTTAGCATGTTGTGATGGTTGGTAATGTACATGAGCTGAGAATAAGAGGTACCATTACCTTGCAGCTAGCATCTGGAGAATTGATTGCGCTTAGAATGAGAAATACCAATACATTCCAGCTAGCACTTGGAAAACTTGGCAGAGGTACTATTACCTTCTAGCTTGTGTCTAGTAAATTGACATTTCGTTATGGAAAGGTGTATCATTGACTTACTATGCTTGAGGCAGATAGAACATTGTTTCATTTCTTATTTTGTCTCGGTGTATCCATGTATATCATGCATGGTAATGATTATGGTTAGATGGGGCTGGGTTGTCTTATGTGATAGTGTAGTGGTCATTGCACTTGTATTGTTTTTGTATTTGTGTTAAGATGTATATATATGTACATAGGTGTATTGGACAAGTTGTTGAAAGTGTTTCTTCACCATGGGCTTAAGGCTAGGAAATGTTATGAACGTATTAGAAATGAACAGAAGTCATGTATTGGGGCGTAAGTAATGAAAAGTAATTGGATTTTTGTGAACATGTTTTAAACAAACCAATTGTTATGTGATATTTATGAAATGAGAAATGGGAAAGAAAAGTGGATCTTTTGGTGTGTTGAATAAACTGAATGATTTTGGAAAGAAATACATATACAAGTATACTTTGGTTATAAAGTGTCATATTATTTATATAGTAGAGTAAACTACACACTACAAAAAAAGTCGTTTTTTGCGACGGTAAAGGGCCGTCGCAAATGTTCCGGAAGCCGTCGCTAATACTTTTTGCGACGGTAATGTGGCTTTTTGCGACGGTAAGGAGGGGTCGCGACAAAGGGGGTCGCAAAAGAGCTTTCGCGACGGTAAGTACCGTCGCCATTAGTTTCTGCGACGGTAAGGTGTGTTTTTTGTGACGGCACGTTTCTTGTCGCAAATAATGGGAAAAAAAATCAGTTTTCGCGACGGCACGTAATTCCCGTCGCTAAAAGTGAGTTTTTGAGACGGCAACATTACCGTCGTTAAAACTCTGGCATCTTATAAGTATTGGCGACGGCACGGGTTACCGTCGCTAAAGGTGTCCTGTACATTCAATAAGGCAGCTTTTGCGACTGTGTTGGTACCGTCGCAAAAGCCTATTACTGGTTTTTGCGACGGGTTCTTCTCCCGTCTCAAAAAATAAAAAAAAAAAA